TGTGACACATCTGCCTGTCCTGGTGTGCCTGCCTCCCACTTGCACAGCCAGCTCTTCTCAGATGAGCTGTGTCGACCCCATGCATGATATTCTCCTGCCTTTCCAGATTGGCCTACTTCCCTCAAGCTGATAACCTCGTATGTATAATAATTGATGTACAACAAGCCCTTTCAGCCTCTCCAGTCTCATCTCTATCTGTTTTTCTCATCCCCACCTCACCTCTCAACCTGCATCCTGTGGGAGTGCTGAATGTTTTCAGCTCCACTAACACTCCAGTCTCTTGTTGATCATTCCGTGACTTACCCTCTTCATCCCCATTTGCCTTTTTGTGAGTCAGAGCATATTCAGGGGCTCAGTCTCACTGCCATTTCTCACAGGTGCTTTCTCTGCCCCAAAGGAGCCTTGACATCACCACAGCCAACTCCTGTAGTAACATTAGCATATGTTTCTGTAATTGCTTGTTTGTCTGTGACACAGATTAGATTTGAAGGAGTTGAGAACAGAGACAGGGTATGGCCAGCATAGTGACCTGCTTTTCGTAAATCAGAAGGAGAAATGACAATAGAGAAGGTGGCAGTAGTTTTATACCCAGATTTTTAAAACTTGCTTTCATGCTTAGACCAGAGGCATTGGAGACTTCCATAAGCTTGCCAGGCACACAGGGCTATGATGTAAAAAGGGAGTTTGTTTTTAGTGCCTGGACTTTAAGGGATGCTGATTCCCTGTAGCATCAAGGACAGGTAATATAGTGAAAACTCATTGTCCAAGCACTAATATGAGGCATACAAGGCTTCCTTAGAGAGAAAGATGAGCTTGTAGGTTTATTGGTTTGCTTTGTTAAGGGCTTTTAAGAATGAGAATTTCTGTTTCAAAATGGGTCAGTTCTGGAAACATTCAAAGAAAATTGCACAACCTACAACTGATAAATGCACTCCGAACTAAACCTTAGTATCATCCAGCTGTCCTTTTGCAGCTCTACTTCATCTCCTTAATCCCCAATATAGTTGAATTAAACAGCTAAGATGTCTTCAGTTTTCCTCTACATAGGTATATCTGTATACCACAGCCTTCTCCTAACACGCATTATTTCTGCTATTTTTTGGTATTATGTGGAGCTTGCTTCAAATTATGTTAATTTGAGAAGTGACTCTTTGTCACATTGTCTGGTTGTAGATGAAAACCTTGCTTGTAACAGAATCGGAACACTGGGATAAACATACGGAACAGGATAAACATACTGGAGAACAATTAAGCAGGGACAAAACATTGCAGTAACATCCCAAAAGGCAGTTGGAGTTGTTCTCTGTTTGTGTACCCTAATCCCTGTCTTCATCATCTAGCCTAGACATAAGATGCCAAATGGGAACTATTCAGGTCAACCCAGCTGTCAGCTGCCCTTTCAAGTTTGCCTAATATTACACTCTCTAAACAAAGAAACAAAACTACCATCTCATTTTTGGACAATACTCTCTCCCTTTTAAACTAAGCTTTTGTTTCCTATGCTATTAGGAATGCTGAAGACACCTATGAATGAGCATCACAACACTGTATGGTAATGTTGGCCATTCGTGTGTATGGCCACCATTTATATGTGTGATCTGTAGGGCTATTCACTATGCCCATAGAACAGATATGGTTTTGAGAATTTAGGTCACTTGACGAAGGTGTCTAGCTAGAAGGAAGCAGAGGTGGCCTGGGGAGATAGATCGACAGCTTAAGCACCTGCCTGGCAAGCACAAGATCCTGAGTTCAATCCCTGATACCAAAACAAAAAGAAGCAGAGGTAGAATTCTCACCTGGCTACGTGGTTGCCTTTGCCTTGTGTCCTAGGCTGCTACACTGAGTTTGATGGTGATGCTGCACACTGGGCACCCTTAGAATTTCTAGATGGTTCACACATGAAATAATTGATCTGTTTTGGTGAGAGGCATGTTTATGCCTTGAAATCACTGAACTGCCCTGTAAATATAGTAGTAAACACCTGAAAATGTAACTGCACATGATTTAGATCTTCAAGAACTTGTAGAGACAGCTATGTTTTTAGAGGAGGCACAGGCTCTCTATTTCACACAAGATTAGGCAGCCTGGAGAGAAAAAGATTAAAGAAAATCTTCTGCAAATAGATGTAAGAGGGAATAAAACTATTATCTGGAAAGGGAAAAGGGTGCTAAGCTTAGGAACTTGCCAGCAGTCCCCAAGCCCTGCGAAGCAGATGTCTAAGTGGATTCAAATAAAGAGATAAGAGCTTGACAAGGAGGGGTTGTCAGACCTGCTGGAAGGGGTGACTTCATCAGAAAGAGAGCAGGATGGGAATGCTGGGCCTCTTTAGAGGCCCTCTGGACCCATCTGCTACCAACTCACAAGACCTTCTTATTGTATTTTCAGGTATATTGTGATAGTGGTAGTTTGAAACTGTCTGTAATGTGAATATTTACGTCATGGAAATTGATACACACTACAACTAGGGCTTGTTATAGAGAAGACTTGATTTAAGAGCTCATGGTTGGCTGCTTATTTATTTTAAATTTTATTTATTTATTTGATACGGGGTCTCATTATGCGGTTTAAATTCATAGTGATCCTCCTGTCTCAGTCTCCTTAGTGCTGGGATTACAGGCATGTTTCTCCATGCCCCGTTTTGGAGCTGGCACAGCGTGCAGTACCGGGAATCGAACCCAGGTCCTTGGACTTGCCAGGCAGGCACTCAGAAGGGCAAGTTTCCTGTTACTGAAAGTATCCAAATAGAAATTTGGTGTTTCCTAAAGATGTGTTCCAACAAATGGAAGGGAAAAATTGGGAAATCATGAAAGTCTTATCTAACTGTATGGCACTTTATCGCTTGACTTCCCTGGTCACAGTGCTAAGGCCAGCATGGTGTCTATTGTCTGATCGCTGGAGCGTCTTTCTCTACCAACCACTCCTTACCTACTCCTTTTCTCCTTATTTGCATGTGTTTGACCCTGCCTTGTGCTCTTTTCAGTTTCAGTTTTGTTTTTGTTTTTTACTGAAGAGTTCCATAGTCTTATGTTGTGTGTCAGACTGCTTGGGTTTGGATCCTAATTCCACTGTCAACCAGCTGCTTAAGGGCTGGACAATTACCTAGGCTGATTAAGCCTTAGGGTCTTCGCCTACTGGAAGTGCGGGATAGAAGTGCCTCACTCAAGGGCTTGTTTTATGTCTTAAATGATGCTATGCACATATGATTAGTGTAGTGTTTGGCCCTGAATAAGAGCCTAGTATTAGTTACATTTCCACCTAAGGGAATATTTCTTTTTTTTTTTTTTTTTGATTTGTCCCAACCCTTAGGCTCCACATTTTCAAATATACATGAGGACTTTATTAAATTGACTAGATATGTTCCTTAATTTGTTTGTCTCTAGAACAGTGTTTTGTGCATTAAGTTCTACTTTTTAGTCAGAAGTATAGTCTGGGGGGGGGGAGGGGAAGTACCAGGGATTGAACTCAGGATCCTGTGCTTACCAGGCAAGTGTTGATTCTATTGAGCTATCTCCCTGGCCCCGGAAGTACAGTCCTATAATCCATTATATTCATAATAATAGACAGCAGATGTTTTCCTTTTAGACAGCATCTATGTGGTAGTCTAAAAGCTGGGAATGTAACTTAATGGTGGATCAGTTGCCTACTCTGTGCAAGGCCTTAGCTTCTATCTCTAGGACCATGGAAAAGGGTGGGAGTGGTCATGGGGGTTTGGAGGTGTTGCACTGGAGGCCCTCAGAAATTAGAGAAGCTTAAAAAGAATGATGTTGCACTTCCTCCTGCCCTGAGTCCAAAGAAAATGATGGAAAGAATGTACCAAAGGTGTTTGTTCTGGTCTTTTCACTGATCAGATACTGTGATGTGTTCCTGAAGACACAAGAGTTGTGGCCATGCCCACAGAGGTAGATAAGCAGAATAGTTCAACCTTGGCATGGAAAAGACCCTTTCTTGAACTTATAGAATAATCTCTTTAAAATTATATTCTTAAAAGGGTTATGAACCTTTATGGATCAGAGACTGGGAGAACTTGGTGCTAACAATTGTTTCTGCAAGGTACATTCTGAGTTTTTTGCACCCAGTGGGTTTTTGAATGGTCATCAACGCAGACTTCAAGTGAGGTATAGCATGTTACTCAGAGCTGCAGGTACATTGCCATATGTGTTTACTA